GATTACTTTAGGGAAGTCCCCCAAAATGGGAAATATGGAATAAAGTGTTTCCCACAAGATTGGGTTTTAGAGGGAAATACAGTTAGCCATACATCAATTGCTTTCCCCAATCACTTATTTTTGGGCATACTCATTTAAAAAGCACAAATATGTCACAACAGCATTAAATGAATTCCAAGTCTGTTCTTTACTTTCTGACCAAGTCTAAATATTCACTTCTTATTTTATTTTCCATCTTGTCATATGGTCCAATGGAATGTCAGAGGTTATGAGTAAAAGTAAAAACAAGTCATAAAAAACTCCAATAATAAAATGACAAAAACAAATAACTGCCTCAATTTGGTTATGAACATATACCATTTACATTTTTTCTTCTATTTTGGTTGAAATTAAAATTGAGATATAAATCTCTATGTCATTTAAGTTAAATATTAAAGAAATGACAGATTAAGAATCTGACATTATTTTTTTTTAATTCCACATAAACTTTTTTTACCTTAATCCTGGTAATTACAGTTGAGAACATTCAAGCTACCTTTCTTTATCATCTAAATAGTTGGATAAAATAACATCAAAACCTTTAATTAATTAATGCCCTAAAAATATAGTGAGGGCTGGGTATCTTGGAGAAGGTGTACAGGGAAAGGGCACAGCCATCCCTTTGCCCTTAGAGGCATTGGCCTATTTTAACTCAGTGCTCATGGAGCTGACTCACAGGATAGTCAAAGGTCAAAGACCAGAATGTACCAAAAGAGGAACACTGATAAACTCAATGTAAACATGACCTAGAGGTAAATGTATTCTCTGGCTGACCGAGGACACTCAGGCTTCAAGTGCTAATTCAGGCAGCCCCAGCTTAATTATACTTCCTGAAATGGGCAAAAGCAAGATACAGTTCTCTTTGGAGAGAGATCCATTTATCATAGACAAAAACATCACATATAAAAATCCAGTGCCTGACACCAAGTAAACTATAATCAGATTAGTAAGAAAAAATATACAAGCATCATGAGAGCACAAACATCATGACCCAGAAACAGTAGAAAAAGATAATCAATGAAAATAGTTCCACAGAGATCTCCAATGTGCAAATTGTCAGACTCTAAAACAACTGTTTCCTATGGTTAAAAAGATCAAAGATGATCTAGGAAGACATTACTAGGGGATTAATAATTAAACCATGTGACATACTGGATTGGAAAAGCAACCACATACAACTTTTGGCTAGGAGATAGTGGGATAGTTGTGCTCAACAATGATGGAAGTTTGTCAGACAAGTAAATTGGATGGAGACATGGGCAGAGGAGAAGAGTAGATATGCAATGAGTAAATGGACATATATTATGACTTGCAGTCTTAGTTGGATAGGGAGGAAGTGAAGCCAGCAGGGGCTGAGTAGCAGTCATAATATCCTCAGAAAAATCTCAGTATGCTGCTTTCCAAATAGTTTCAACCAGATTTGCAGAATGACTATTAATTTTAGAGAATCCAGGCAGAAGATAGAGTTCAGGGCATGGACCTCAACACAATGAGTGTACTGTCAGATGTGATAATGGGATCAGGGGCAAATGATCATTTTTAGGAGTTTCTACTAAGAATTATTTTAATGCTTTAAGGAATTGTATAAATATACTAAGGCAGACAGATGGAAATATCCTCAACAGCCCTGAACTGGTTGGCTCTGGCCTGGATATAGTGTTGAGCTATGCTTTAACACTAAAGAGTTAGACTTCTCTGGGGAGTTAGTTTTAAGCTAAGATTTAGGTTGTCAAGATATCCATTTGTGTGTATTCCTTTGAAGTAGGAAAAAAGACGAATAACATAGTTGAAATCATCAGCATCATCAACATCATAATTAACAACACATTTCCACAAAACGGGAAAAAAATGTTTTTCAAACCCATACTATGTATTGAGACCTTGATGCGGAACATTTGCTAAGGAAGGCAGAGGGGAAGCTAGAGAGTGAAGGGTATCAATTAAAATCATTCAGATGGTAAAGATAACCACAGAAGGAGGGCCTACTACTCTCCTAGAATCACTACCTGGGTTATTATTAAAGCTTATTGTCGGTGATTGCCTATTTTTATAAGACAACAACCCATCACTAGCCCGTGAGGGCTGAGTCCATGATCCACGTCACTTTCAATTTGCATCCGTGAATTGTCACCAAAAAAGTGCTTCAAATTCTTGCATCATCATTATTTTCAAATGTTTGTTTTGAGCACTGATGTTTCAGAAAATAATTCATGACCTCCTTTCATATAGACCATAGTTTGTCTCTGAAGACCTGCTTTTTCCCCATGCATAATGAACATGGTAAAGCCTCTATTCACCCTCTTCTATGAGTGAGACCGAGAGAGAAGAACACTGATGCTTTGTGTATAAGAAGGAAGTGTCTCTGTGATGCTGTGGCTAAGCTGCTGGCACAGAAATACACAGCTGAGTCACCCAGCTCTGCACGACGGATCTTGAGAGAAGAGTCTGCTCTTTTGGGCCTCTCTGAAGAAAATCGATCCTTAGGCAACCGTGAATCATCTGTTATATCTTCATTCTCAAAGCGAACGAGCAGCTCCAGGCCCTGATCTGGGGTCTGCTGGTACCAGTAAAGAGTTTGGTGGCCAGAAATGGGATTGCACCATAAAGTCACGGCCTGGCTTTTTTCTATGACCTTATGTCTGGGAGACTGGGCGACTCCACCTGCTGTGAGTTCTGTGGAGGGAAAAGACAAAGCAAATAGAAATGATTGGCATAGTCACTGGAAAGTTAACATACAGAGATCTTAGTGTTCTTAGACTCACCTGCCTGTAGGAGACAGAGGGTCATCCAGCAGAGGAGCCTGGTGCCCATCGTGGGGTCAGGACAGGAATGAGAGGTTCACCAAGTCAGGGTCCTGGTGAGCATGAGCAGAGATGAAGGGGCAGTCCCCACAGTGACATCACTGTCTCTGCAAATGCATAGTTTCAAAAACCAATTGTTAAGAACTAACACATACCTGCAAGTTTGTTCAGCACATTCATAGACTGTGTGTAAGTTCATCCAAGTGTCCTTCATTCACTGCTCCAGTGCTGAGTGATTCATTGAATTTTCCACTTCATCTCTACATCTCCCATCACCACCCTCTAACTCTCTGCTGGATGTTTCATTGTGTAAGCAGTAAGGTAGAAAGGATTAGAGGATGGAGAAGGCCCTGAACATTGGTATGGAAGAAGAAAACAAGGAAATGTGTGTTTCAAGAGGTGGAAATAGTACAGCCGTATGCTTGGAGGTATTATGCTGAGTCTCAGAAACCTAGGGCTTACATGCCAAGGTTACCAAGTAAAGACCTGTAAGTGTAGAATTATCAGAACCATCTTTCTCCCTCAGAACTGCTCTGTCATTGAGACAGAGAGGCTGCTGGTCTGAGTCCAGCTTATGTTAGCACCAGATAATAATTCTATCTTGGAAACATTCTTCACATGGAGATGTTACTATTTGTTCCACCTTTGTGGCCAGGGGTTAAAGGTTTTAAATGACAAAGCATTAGGGTGAGTAAAGACTGAGTAGCTGGAGATGGGTCCTATCGAGATACATATAAAATGCTTGAAATCCAGGCATTCCATTTCCAAAGAAGAAATCCTCTCTGTGTTCGCAGGCCCCACCTGCTTCCTGGGCAGCACATGGGCAGAATCCATGAACGGATCTGTGTCAGGGCAGGAATGAGGCAACTTGCTGCTCGTTGCGGGAAAGGCTAGAGATCTGGGAAATCTGACTCTTGTTACGGATATTTGCAGCAACTAAGACAAGCCCAGACGAGGTCTAGAATGATTTCCTCTCCTCTCCTATATTCACATTGCGCCATCCCCTACACTCATCTGAGGCACAACTGGAATGGGTTAGGTTTGGGGTCCAGGTGCACATGTAAGTTTCTCTGATGGCTTTCAAAGGCAGTTTCCATTCTCAGGGGTCTCTGAGCATGGGGGCTGGCTCCTGGCTCTCCTCTGCGAGTCCTTGTAGTGAATGTCCAAACATGGGCATGTACTTAGGGAACCCCAATACAGTGCCTGCCACAGGCAATTTCTAAGGGCAAGACTTGTAATTGGCTTACATAACTTTTACCCATATCACATTGTTGCTGACCCTCCAACTGCAAGTGAGGCTGGGAATCCTAGAGGAGCCTGGGGAGTTGGTGACCATAAGGGTCTGTCACACCATTCTTCCTCACTGGCTTCCCTTCCTCATGCTTCCTTCCAGAATATACCTTACCCTTTCATGTTTTTGTTGTGTGTTTGATATACAAGGGTATAATTTAATGCAATTGAAGTTGCAAATGTCTTTGTAAATATTTGTATACTACATTACTTTTATAAATATTTACATATATTATAACTGTGTTTGTGTTCTTTTGTGTCTTTGCTAAAAAAAAAAAAAAAAAAAAATTATCCCTTAAATGAATGCCTAAGTATATTTTAGTCATTTCTCCTAGTAAAATCTAAGTTTTACTTTTCACAATTAAGAGTAAGAATGCTTAAAACATATTTTCATGCAAGGAATGAATTGGAAATCCAGAAATAAGAGGGTAAGCCATAAGTTTCATGCAGAAGACATAGCTGTAAAAAAGATCTCTAAGATGGTGGATCTGAGGAAGTAACTGAACTTAGATGAATGAATTCAGGGCAGAGAGACTTATACAAGATGACCAAGGAGGTCAAGGGCAAGGTCAAGGGCAAACATTACAGGACTTTGTAGGGCTATGCCCCAAAGGAGAAAAGCAGCCAGTGACAGCCTTCATCTGAATAAAGGTTAGACTGTGAGTTGAAGGATAATAAAGGGTGGGGGCAAGGGTGAAAGAAGAAGCCACTAAAGCCTGTAAAAGAGAGACAATGTGGACAATGTAGGGACTTTGAAATTATCAATGGAATTTTCATATATTTTAATATACTTTTTTTTTTTTTTTTTTTTTTTTTTTTTTTTTTTTTTTTTTTTACTGCAAGCAGGCAGAGAGAAAGCATCACAAGAGAAAACCAGTGAGCTAAGGAGGTTGGGGTGGTCTCCGGTCAGGCTGAGGCTGACCTAGGGATGTACTTCAGCCCTGAGGGCCATGATGCCATGATGCCATGATGTCTCCAGGCTGGCAGTAACTTTCTGGGGTTTAGCCAAGCCTCAGAGTGCAACCTCAGGTTTTCTAACCATCCTTTTCGTGCAGAGAGGAGGCAGCCATGTAGTGCTGTGGATTCACTGCTGGCACAGAAGTACACAGATGTCTGGGAGGTAGTAGCAGACTCCAGCGTGAGGGGGAAGTCCTCTGTGTTTGATCTCTTGACACTGTACCCATCAGGGACATCTCCTTTATCAATGTTGTCAACACCATATGAGTAATGGATCAGCTTCAGCCCATGACCCAGGTCTTGGCGATACCAGTACATATAGTCATGGTTATCAGTCTGGTGACACTTTATGATCACTTCTTTTTCTGTCTGTGTGACCTTAAATCTTGGACTCTGGGTGATTCGGGCATCCAGGGGTCCTGTAAGAGAGAGTGATAGAACCTGATATTGTCATCCTAAGATAAAGGCTTGGGTTGAGGTCTTGGGAATCCATACTCACCTGCCCATAGGAGATAAAGAACCACCCAGAAGTGCCTGGTGAACATTTCAGGTCCAGGACAGAATCTCATGTCTTCCTGTTCCGTTTGGTGGAAACAATAGACTCAGTGATGTCACTGTCCTTGACAAATGCCTGAGCTAATCTGCCACACCCCTTTTCCACAGGAACAAATCAACTATATATACAATATATATATATATATGTATATATATATATATATATACATATATATATATAGTTGAATAGTTCGAGTGGATAAATTTTGTAAGTATATTTTTGGAAGAAATCTTATTAAGTATATGTGCTTTTTACTTAGAGAAGATTTGTCCTTCTATGCATAGTGACATAATTCCTTATTTGTAGATTGTTACATTTTTCACAATGTTTCTGGTACTTTGGTAACAAGATCAGGAAGAAAAGAGGAGTTTTCAACCAGGATTCATATTGTTTGGTTTAAAGTACATGGAATCCCAGATATTTGAGGACTATTCTCAGAATAAGGCATAATCTACCCATAATATTAGTATTTTCAATAATATCTTAATTTCTTTAAGGACATAAGCATTCACCAACACTCAAGATTAGTTTCTGTTGTGTGTGGTTTTTGTTGTTGTTTGACTTTTTACACTGGTGTCTCCCAGCACTTGGAGTAGTGCCTACAATATATTAAATCGTGAAGGGTGGATTGGCTATGCAAGCAACGAAGAATAATTTCAGGCCTTTTCATTTGCATAGGACCTTACCAAGACTTCTGAAATATTTTTCTATTTTATTTTTCAAAGAGCACCCTAAACTTTGATAAGCTTTAATCCTACAAAGCTAAAACTACTCTGAACCTGTACTCAATTAGTGTTTGTTCAATGAATGATGAAAAGAATAAATGATGTCAGAGTCCAGGCAGACTGAACTTCTGTAAAGATAACCCAGTATAGTCAGTTACAAGTAGGTTCAAAGCTTGAAGGGAGCAGAGACCCATGTGACTCTGCTGGGAATTAAAAATAAACCAAAGTGCACAAAGAAAAGATTCATTCATACATGTTATTATAAGACTTTTTGTTTTTATAGGGCTTTTTGAATGAATGGTTGTCAGAATGAAAGAAATAAAAATGACAGTAACTTCCTTTTATCACTGTCACCATTTAGGCTGCCCCTGGAGGCACAGTCTGAGATGAGGATTTAGGTGCAAGTAGTTTAGTTGGGAAATGACCTCAGGAAGCAGGAAAAAGAGAATAGGGAGAAAGAAACTAGGAAGGATAAAATTAGAATCAGGTGCAATATTGCGGTTGTGCTGGGGCATCAGGAGATGGATTTTGTTGGAATCTGCAGAGAAGCACACAGACCACCTCCTGAGCTGTCCTCTTGGACACAGAGTCTGAGCTTTCATCCCTGGTTCCTTTCCTTCCAGAATCATTAGCACTTCTGCAGCTCTGACTGCCCTGCTGTACATACCACCTGGGTTCCTATGATAGAGAGGAGGCCAGAGCAGAAAGCTGAAGGATGCCTAACCTGCAGTTGCAGGGTGCTGTCAGAACCAGGTAAACGCACACAAACTTGTATGTAATTGTTCACTGCAACTGAGGCTGATACCAGAGGTGGGCCGGGAATGGATGGACAGCACTGGAGGTCCCTCTATAATGGTCTGTCTTCACACAAACTGTCCCTTTCATCAGCTCTTCTGTGTGATCACCAATCACTCTGAAGCCACAAGTTTCTGGAAGCACCACACCTTCTTGCACATCAGACTTATCATCAACAGGAAGTGCTGTCCTGGGTTCCATTTTCCCTTAAGAGAACCTCTCAGTAGTTAATTTCATCAAATTAATTATCATACAAGAGTGTTTGCATTTCAGAGGGATTTCTGTCTGAACCATAGATGAGTCAGACAAAAGTAACCCCAGCCTGCCTTTGATCTTAAAACTACACAACCTATATAATAAAGTGATAATATGCAAATTAACTACCATGCCTTCGCATAAAATGGCTGCCCCCATGTAGTCACAAGATGGCCAGCAGAGGAGGGCAGGTGTGGGCAATCAGACTAGCAGGGGAGAACAGTTAGAGGCACCCGGGTCATCAGGAGAGGGCAGTTGGGGGCAATTGGGCAGGCAGGGGAGGGAGGGCTACAGGTGGGGGGGACCAGGCCTGCAGGGATGGCAGTTAGGGGTGACCAGGCCAGCAGGGGAGGGCAGTTGGGGATGATAGGGTCAGCAGGGGAGCAGTTAAGTGTTGATCAGGCTGGCAGGGGAGTAGTTAGGGGGCAATCAGGCAGGCAGGCAGGTGAACAATTGGAAGCCAGCAGTCCCAGATTGTGAGGGGTCCCAGATTGGAGAGGGTGCAGGCTGGGCTGAGGGACACCCTGCCCCCCTAGTGCCCAAATTTTGTGCATGAGGCCTCTAGTGGTAAATAATTGTGCTAGACTAGAGATAGGTCAAAGTGTTTATAGAGAACAATAGTGATATGAGCATATATTTTTTATTAAATAATTTTGCTTGTGCAAAATCTCTGCAAGACATTTATTATTGCCCCCTGGTTACAAATGCAAAAACTCAGACAAATATTTTCTGAGTCACCATCCCAAGGCTGGTCAGATGAACAAACAGGTCTGGGAAGCTGTGTCTCTTTCCTCTTCAGCAGGTCCCCTCCCAAGTGAAAGCTGTTATGCAAATAATTTGTGTTAGAGTCTGCATTTCTGAAAGGGACTTTTGGGTCCATGTTCTCATTTTGAAGATGCCTCTCTCTACCAAATGCAGAAGAGTGGGGTGATTGAAAGCGTCAATGGAAGTCAGTATGGCCTATGTCTGTGTCCCAATTCTGATATTTGTTAGCTGCATCTTCTTTACCCAAGTATCCAAACTCTCTAACAATCAGTGTTTTCACTTGTAATGTGGGTGACTTGTGCTACCTCACAGAAAATGTGCAATAAAAAAGGTGATTGGGTTAAATGTACAAAAAGTGTAGAAGTCGTTTCTGCATTCACCAATAAATTTTTACTCAGTCTGTAAATGTCTACACCATTCATTTAATAGCTATGATGCTCAGCTGTTTTCTGCAGTTCCTGACCTGGGCAGAAGTAGCGATTTCAGATGTTCTGATGGAAAGTGGGACCTGGGGACAAGGTGAGACCCTCCCTCCTTCATAACCTCCATTGGTTTAGAAACACTGATTCCTGTAATAACTCCCAGAATCCTGCCCAAAATTCCTGGAAGGCTTCTGTTTCCTTGGTGAATCTTCTGCTAGTCTGGAAATCACCCTAATCACTTAGCTCTTCCATTAGGGGACATCATGGCCTTCCTCTATGTGAACTAGGACAGGACAGATACATGTTGTCTGACCCCACTTTATCACAGTAGGAGTTCCTGTCATGTGCTAGGAATTTCCAGGTGCTGGCAGAGCTGGGAGGACACTCAGGAAAGCTCTGGCTGAGCTCAGTAGGGCAGGGAGAGTCTTAGAAAAGAACTAGAAGCCCTGGAATAAGCTAAGACCCCTTCCCTTCCTGTGACATCCTCATCTGGGACAAGGAGGTTTGAGTACAGAAAGCCATTGACCCTGCAGGGCTGTGTCTAAGCTGCTGGCACAGAGATACACAGCGGAGTCTCCCAGCTGCAAGGTGCTCATGGCCAGCTCAGAGCTGTAGTTATCAAACTGTTTTCCTGAGAACCGATCAGGGATGTTTCCTTTCTGTCTCTCCTCCGTTTTGTAATAACTAATGAGGAACTCGGGGCCCTGTCCCAGAGCCTGCTGATACCAGTATACAGTATTGTGTCCGGAGATAGGATGGCACTTCAGAACAGCCTTCCCCTCATGCCTTTTGATTAGGTGTCTTGGGGACTGAGTGACTCCAGCAGCCACAGAACCTGTGGAGGAAACAGACAGAAACTGGAGACCAGCACAGAAAGGAGATGGACACTTGGTAACAGTCAAGAACTTTAGGTTCAAAGGATGTCCCACCTGAACTCAGCACTCACCTGCCCCCAGGAGACAGAGGGTCATACAGCAGAGGAGCCAAGGGCCACTGGAAGCCTCAGAAAGGACAAAACTGGCCATCTCCCCGTTCTGGGATCTGGTGTTTGGAGTGAGTGAGCAGAAGGTTTGGCCCTCCCTGTGCTCTGCTTGGAGGACCTGCCTGTGATGTCACTGTTCAGATGTCACTATCTTTGTAGGCTCCACATGCAACCTGTACTTCCTGGACAGACTCAGCTGGTGCAGATATTCCCCCATTCTGTCCATCTTCCTATGAACAGGTGCTGCTGGCTGTGCCGAGCTGGACCAGGCAGGATTTGTGGCAGGTGATCATTCCCAGAACTTCTTTGCTTCCTTGGAGCAGGTGCGTTTGTTCTATACCTGGCATGAATTATCTAGGCTGCCTACTAAAAGAAGCTCCATCGCCCTTTCCACCAAACATAGGCTCCAGGAGAGGCCTTACCTCCACATAGAGCCTGGTTCATGGCTCTCTGCTGTGACCAACACAGCTGCATAGCAGTAAATGTGAGAAGATATGATCAGCAAACCTCTGATTTATCAGATAGTCTGCCTCTTGTAAGGACCAAGCCAAGACTCTGTCTCCCACAGGGTGCCATCAGCAGCTCACTCCGTGGATCCACAGCGCCCCCACGTGGCCACTTGTGTAGTCACAGTGTGGACACTTCCCAAGCTGGCTGGGTTCTGTCTGAATTAGGAATCAGGATGAGACAGGACACTGGAAGCTTCTGCTGATGTGATGTTTACTATTTCAGCTCAGCCTTTGCAGGTGGTACTGAGGGAGGCATGATGCATTTTTCTAAAAAGGGAATAAAGTTATAAATATTAACAATGAGTGTTCTGGGAAAGAGGACACCTTGCATTTGCTGCCCTGGGAAGTGTTGGAGGGAACTTGGGTGAAGTGCTCTCTTTAACCAAAGATAATTTCTGGGAGAGCTTACCTGGGGGTTCTATCAACTAAAAAAAAAAAAAAAGAAAGAAAGCTAAGCAACTGGAAATAAACCCTCTAAGAAGGGGGAATTGCTTACTTATAGGTCTTGGAGGTGTTTTTTGTTTGTTTGTTTGTTTTTTTACTACCTTTTCAACTTTTTTGTTCTTTTTAAAAATTGAATTACTTACCTTTTGGTTATTGATTTGTAGGAATTATTTATATTCTGTATACATACTCCTTCTTGATATCTTTTGATGAACAGGACTTTGAAATTTTGACAAAGAAAAATGTTAGAATATTTTTTGTGTTCCGTAAGAAATCTTTGCTACTCCAAGATCAAAAAGAGAATTGCCTCTGCTTTCTTTCCGAAGCTTTATAGATCATTTTGATATTGACCCATCTCATACTCAAGTTTGCAAGAGTCAGCAAAAAAGGTCAGATTTCCGGTTTTCTGTCCAGCTGCTCAGCACTGCCACAGCAGTGCCAAAGCACCCACAGACACTGGGTCTGGAGGAAGGGAGGCTGTGCTCCAATAAACTTCCTGTATCAAAACCAAAATCTGAATTTCAAATATTTTTCATATGTCACAAATATTGTTATTTTTATTTTTTACCCACTTAAAAATTTAAACCTCATTGATTAGCTTCTGGACCCTCTAATAACATGCAGAGACCAGATTTGCCCATTTCTGCTTTATGAAGTGAGATAAGGATTGAGTTTCAGTATTTTCCATATGCTTACAGGTTTCCCAACACCTTTTTTTGAAGTGACTACTTCTCCCCATTTTGAGCTACTTTAAGTGTTTGATCTAGGGATCACCATGTGCATCTCTAATTTACCATAGTCTCCCTGCAAAAGTGTCTACTAATCATAGATTTTTCATAAGTGCCCTTGATCAGGAGAATGACTTTGAATTACTTCTAAATTGACTAAGAGTTTTAATTGAGAACAGATGTTGGATTGTAGCAAAAGTAATTTTGAGCAGCTATAGAGATGATCCTATGATCTTTATTTTTATTTGACATGTTAAACTACATTTTGTACTTTTAAAAAATATATATTTTATTGATTTTTTACAGAGAGGAAGAGAGAGGGATAGAGAGTTAGAAACATCAATGAGAGAGAATCGCTGATCAGCTGCCTCCTGCACACCCCCTACTGGGGATGTGCCCACAACCAAGGTACATGCCCTTGACTAGAATCGAACCTGGGACCCTTAAGTCCGCAGGCTGACACTCTATCCACTGAGCCAAACCAGTTTCAGCCATTTTGTACTTTTGAATGTTAAACTGACTGCACATTACTGAAATAAACCTCACTTGGTCCCAATGTATGAACCTCTGTAGCTGTTGTTGCATTTGATACTGGGATAAGTAGGGAATTATTCACCGTTTTTTCAGATTTCCCAGTAAGTACTCTTGTAGGAGCATCCTACCAATTTTGATATGCTGTATGTTAGGGTTTGGCTGGTGACTTGGGATATGAAACAATTCACAGCTAAGAAAAGAAATACAGTGAGGAAATTTATAGTACTTTCCAAGGGATGAAAGGGCTGGTGTATTTGCTAGTCGATGCAGGGCAGGGAAGAAAGAGTGGCTTGCAGTTTTTTGTTTTTTGTTTTATTTCTTAATTGAATAAGGTATCACATATTTGTCCTCATCCCCCCATTCCCATCCCAAACCCCTCCCCACTGTTTGCCCCCACCTCCCTGTTGTCCTTGACCGCTGGTTAGGCAAGTTTTTTGGTTGATCTCTCCCCTTTCCCCCACCCTCCCCTACCTTTCCTCTGAGGTTGCAGTTTTAAAGGGCAAGCAGTTGCCATTGCTAAGCCACAAGAAAGGGAGATGTGTTGAAGTTGACCAGATGCTGGGCATTGTTTTGAAAAGTTACAGTTTATTTGTTGGAGACAGTCAGGCAGATGTCCTAAGGAGGTGTCTTATCAGTATTTTCCCCAAGTTTGTAAAACAAGCTTAAAACAAAAGTTATAAAGAGTTCAAAACAGGGCTTGTCTGAAGGGGAGGAGGGAGATGTGGAGGAGGAATTTTTGCTAACCAACCTGAAGCTATTAAAACAGCAGGGAGAAGGCTGAGAGATATGAAAACATGCTCAAAGTCACTAATCATCCAAGAGATGCAAATCATAACAACAATGAGGTACCATCTCACACCTGTCAGAAAGGCTATCATCAACAAATCAACAAATAAGTGCTGGCAAAGATGCGGAGATAAAGGACACCTCCTGCACTGCTGGTGGGAATGCAGACTGGTGCAGCCACTGTGGAGAACAGTCTGGAGTTTCTTCAAAAAATTAAAAATGGAACTTTCATTTGACCCAGAAATCCCACTTTTAGGAATATAGTCCAAAAATCAGAAACATCAATCAGAAAGGATATATGCACTACTATGTTCATAGCAGCACCATTTACATAGCTAAGATTTGGAAACAGCCTAAATCCCCATCAGCAGATGATGAGTGGATCAAAGAACAGTGGTACATCTACACAATAGAATTCTATGCTCCTATTAAAAAGAAGGAACTCTTACCATTTATAACAGCATAGATGGACCTGGAGAACATTATGCTAAGTGAAATAAGCCATTCAGAAAAGATGAATGTCACATGATTTCACTTATTTGTGGAATATAATGAGAAACATAGTCTGATGAACAAAAATAGATCCGGAGACAAAGAAGCATTGAACAGCTCTAACCAGTTTGGCTCAGTGGATAGAGTGTCAGCCTTCGGACTCAAGGGACCCAGGTTTGATTCTGGTCAAGGGTATGTACCTCGGTTGCTGGCACATACCGAGTAGGGAGTGTGCAGGAGGCAGCTGATGGATGTTTCTAACGCCCTATCTCTCTCCTTTTCTCTCTGTAAAAAATCAATAAAAAATATTTTTTTTTAAAAAAGAAGCATTGAACAGATGTCAAATCTCAGAGAGAAGGCACGGGAGGGAATACAAAAAGGGAGGGCAGGGTAAGAGAGCAACCAAAGGACTTGTATGCATGCATATAAGCATAACCAATGGACACAGACAATAGGGGGTTGAGAGCATGGGCGGGGGGGGGGGGGGGGGGGGATGGGAGCAGCTGGGAAGAGGTCAATGGGGGAAAAAGGAGACATATGTAATACTTTAAACAATAATTTAAATTAAAAAAAATAATAAAAAGAGAAGGCTTCAGAAGAAAAATAGTAAAAATAAAACAGCAGGGAGAGGGGTTGAGAAAGATTATAGCCTTGAATATAGTCTGATCTCTTGAGTATAGTCTGATCTGGTACTGCTGTTTGAATAGAGGAGCTAATTAAATTAGAAGAGCCAACAGCCAACAATCTCAGAGTTTAATTACCAAGTGCTTCTCATAAATTGTGGAAAGGCCACAACAAAGAAAAGGAGAAGCCTGTTTTCTGTTCTTTCATTATATGTTCATTTTCATTTGGTTAAAATTGCTTTAGAATTTCCCTTTTCCTTTGTTCTTTGCCCCATAGGTTATTTAGAAGATTGTTATTTTCTTTCCAAATATTTGAGACTTTTCCAATGCTCTTTTTGTTGTTGACTTCTAATTTAGTTCCTTGGGGGTGAGAGAACATGCTTTGTAAGACTTGGATTCTTTTAAACGTATTGATACTTATTTTATCATGATCCATGTACACTTGATAAGAATTTGTATTCTGCTGCTGTTGGGTGAATTGTTCTATAAATGTCAGTTAGGCCAAGGTGATCAATAAATTATTCCATCAAGTACTGACAGGTGTTGAAATGTCTGACTATAATTATGAATTTTTCTATTTCTCCTTGCTGTTTTCATTCAATGTTTTGAAGCTTTGTTTTTAGGTGAATAAATATTTATGATTGCTATGTGTTCTTATTAGATTGCTTTGTTATCATTAGAATATGACATTTATTATCCAGATGACATCCTTTGCTCTGAAATTTACTTTGTCTGAT